ATGTTAATAATAATAATAATAATAATAAATAATAAAATAACAACAATAGCAACAACAAAAACATCAACAACAACACAAGCAACAACAACATCAACAATAATAACAATAATAATGATAATAATAATAACGACGAAGATGACGTCATCTCACTCGGAAGGTATCACCCTTCTCCCCCTCGTGACCGTAGTCCACCACTAAGGAGAAACCACCATGGTGATGGATGTACTCTGCCATCTGGTGGTGATGATGATGGTGGTGGTGATTGTAATGGTGGTGATGATGGTGATAATGATGATTGTGATGATGGTGGTGATGATTGTGATGGTGGTGGTGATGATGATGATGATTGTGATGATGGTGATGATGATGATTGTGATGGTGGTAAGGATGTTGGTGATGATGATGATTGTGAAGGTGGTGATGTGATGATGAATCAATCAATCAATCAATCATTCATTCATTTATCCATTCAATCAACCTGTCGTATAATTTTGAGACTTTCAAATGATATTTCAACATGATCCACTGGAGAAGCTTTTAAAACCTGAAAAAAAGAACGAACGAATGAAAGAATGAATGAATGAATGAATGAATGAATAGCGTAATAGACGAGTAAAAAAAGGAATGAAAGAAAGTATAAAAGACAAAACAACTAAATTAGTGAATGAAGAAACGAAAACTAATCTTAATAATGAATGAATGAGTGAATGAATGAATGAATGAATGAATGAATGAATGAATGAATGAATGAATGAATGAATGAGTGAATGAATGAGTGAATAAATGAATGAACGAATGGATGAATGAAAACGCCTGACCAACTTCTTTAAATGTAACAGTAGCAGATGTTTCTCCTGGCGATAGTACAAATCTCAACTTACAACTATCAGCATCATCACCACCGCTGACAACATCATTATCATCACAACTACTACTACTTTTACTACTACTACTACTACTACTACTACTACTACTACTACTACTACTACTACTACTACTACTACTACTAATACTACTTTTATCATTGTTATTAATGTTGTTGTTGTTGTTGTTGTTGTCATCTGTGACGTCAACCAGAACCTCGTGCCATCGCTCACTGACTTTCTGAATGAATGAAAGAATGAATGAATGAATGGAATGAATGAATGAATAAATGAATGAGATGACGAATGAAGCAAAACATTTCGCAACGTCAATGTACCATTATGCGGCCCTTATACGTAAGTACAGATGCGGCCCTTCAAAGGTAAGATAGTTCTTAATACGGCCATTACGGCAAAAAGTTAGCCCACCCCTTGGTGTAGATCTTAACTTCAATCAATCAATCACGATCGATAGATCGATCGATCAATCAATCAATCAATCAATCAATCAACAAACCAACAAACAAACTTGAAATTTATGTATAGGCAAAGCGTCGAAAAATTCGTGAGCGATAATAAATGAAGGTGCTGCTGACGATGATGATGACGACGAAGATGATGATGATGACGACGACGATGATGATGATGATGAGTTGTTGTTGTTGGTAGCAACAAATTCACCCAGACCATCATACCAGGACACTCGAATTTCTTTGTTAACTGTTATGATGATGGTGGGAATCATCATCATCATCATCGTCACCCACCAAACACCATCATCATCATCATCGTCACCCACCAAACATCATCATCATCACGACCTCCCCGAATCATATTTTCCTGCAGTTTCCTCAAAGCGGGACTGACTTCAACCAAATGGATGGAGAGATTCGGAAGGATGGATGGGAATTTTTTGAAGACCTTGGATAAATGAATGAATGAATGAATGAATGAATGAATGAAAGAATGAATGAATGAATGAATGAATGAATGATGATTGAATGAACGAACGAACGAATGAATGAATGAATGAATAAATGAACGAATGAACGAATGGATGAATGAATGAATAAATAAATAAATGAATGAATGAATGAATGAACGAACGAACGAACGAATGAATGAATGAATGAATGAATGAATGAATGAATGAATGATGAATGAATGATCAACCTTACCCTCAACATGTCCGCCATTAGAGTTCCTCGCCCTGGACCCAGTTCAACAATGTTGAATCTATTTTTATTATTGTTATTGTTGATATTGTTGTTGTTGTTGTTAGCAAATCTTTTCATCCATTCGTTGACACACCATACTCCAACCATCTTGAATGAACGATTGATTGATTGGTTGATTGATTGATTGATTGATTGGTTGACTGATTGACAGATTGATTGGATGATTGATTGATTGATTGATAGATTGATTGATTGGTTAAACGACTGATTGATTGGTTGATTGATTGATTGGTTGATTGATTGATCGATTGATTGATTGATTGATTGATTGATTGATTGATTGATTGATTGATTGATTGATTGATTGATTGATTGATTGATTGATTGATTGATTGATTGATTGATTGATTGATTGATTGATTGATTGATTGATTGATTGGTTGGTTGGTTGAATGACTGATCGATTGAGAATGAATTAGCGAACGAGAAAATAAAAAATGAATGAATAAACAAATGAATGAACGAACTAATGGATGAATAATTGGACGAACGAACGAACGAATGAGAGAACAAACAAACGAATGAACGAGTGAACCTCGCCAAACATCTGACTAATCTCAGGGGATGTGGTGAAGTCGCCTTTCGCCCCAAAGACATCTTTCTGCATGTAGTAACCCTAAAAATAATAATAATAATAATAATAATAATAATAATGATAATAATAAATAACCCTTTCATTTTCTAACTATACCAAATATCAATAATGAAATAATTATGAAATCCTATCAATCTAAAACGCTCGTCACTGGGGGCTGGTTTAACTGCTCAGTTGGGGGTTCAATCATTCTCAATCTCATTATCAATCAAATTTTATCATCAACATAGAGTTGCATTAAATTTAACAAAAAGACTTTTATACAGTCTGAACCTTGTATCTATATGGTATCTATAATAATCACCTTTTTATTTTTATCGTAAAAACGTACAAGAAAAAAAAAAAAAAAACAATAATTGTATTTGATAATCAAAATTAAAATATATATATTATGATAATAATTATAATAATAATAATTATGATAATAATAATTATAATAAAATAATTATTATGATAATAATAATTATAATAATAATAATGACGGCATACATGGTTGGCATTGGTTAGAACGATTCTCATGTATTCAGCCACAGTCATCGGCCCATTTAACTTTATCAACGATGTTAAATGGTGGTGAAGGCTTTTCGGTGATAGTTGTGATGGGGATGATGATGATGATTTAGATGATGATGGTGGTGATGATTTAGATGATGATGGTGGTGATAATGATTTAGATGATGATGATGATTGAAAATATGATGATGAAGATTGTGGTGGTGATGATGATGGTGATGATGATGGCGATGATGATGATGATGACAACTTTGATGATGAAATTCTATTAAATCTCCTCACTGCGATAAGCCTAGCTGATAAACATTTTTATCAATTTAAAAATTTAGTTGGTATAATTTTTTATATAAAAATTATTAAATAAATTACTCCAAACACACATACATATATTAATATTTATTATAGATATTATATATATATATCATTTATATTATAGATTTAATATTATATATATGTTGGTAATAAACCATAATTTTTACAATATTCTATTATTTGCCTTATTTGCAGCATGAATTCGGAAAATAAGTTTATTTTGAATTTTAATAAACTAAACGTTCACCAAAAAACTTTAGTGAGAAAAATTTAAAAAACGAACTACAAACATATTAACGCCAAACATTTGGTAGAATTTATAGAATATTGTAAAAAAGGTTATATATATATATACATATGTTATTTACACCATATATATTATAAATTTATTAAATATAGACTATAAATATTATTTATATATTTATATATATATGTTATTCATAACAAAATAATCTAAATCTAATTATAGAATTAACTAACTAGTGAAACTAATTCTCCCATGGAGCTTAGAGAAGATCATGTTTCCAGTTTTCTTGCTTTATATTTTATAATATATTTTTTATAAATTTTTTAATTTATTAATTTTTTTTAATTTATTTATTTATTGTTATTTAGTTTTATTTATTTATTTTATATTATAATATAATAATTATTTATTTTATTTTTTTAGCGTTTTTGATGTTTTTTTTGTTGTTTTCAATTTAATTTTGAATTTAATATATAAATTAGTAAATTTATTCCATCAATTAGTTAGTCTAGTTTGGTTTTTAGTTTAGTAGACTTTTTAGAGTTTTAGTTTTTAAGAGTTAGTTAGTAGATGAAAAACCGGTTTTTTAAAAACCTGATGAACATAATTTTTTAATTCACTTTTATACAGCTAAAAAAACTGTCAACTAATTAATTGACACTAACTTAACGTCAGATTTTATTTTTATTTTAACGTCAATTCAATTTTAAGCGAATTTGGTGGATAAAATTCTTTTTTAGGAAATCAACCAATATTTACAAATTAAAAGCGAACGAGCTTAAAATGATTAAAAAAAAATTTAAGTAAAAATAATGTTTAATAAGAGTAAGCTTAGGTATAGCGTATTGTACAAGTAAATTCTGGTATAAATAATATATAATATAATTCAATTAAAGTAAAAATAATGTTTAAATCTGCCATTTTTATGATTTTATGATCTTTGTAGCATTATTATCGATATTTTTTTCTAAAATAAATACATATTAATTATGCGCATAATAATTTATATATAATAATTAGTTACAATAATCTTTGAAAGAGTTTATAAATAAATTTTTTATTATAAGTAATGTATATTTATCAATGAATGTTTATTATTAATGATTATCAATGTTTACATTGAAACAACATTATATGAATATATACACACATATATAAACAAACAAATAATTATATAAATATGTATATTAATATTTGTATATATATATATATATATAATTCTTTAACTATTTATTAAAATTCTCATTTAATTTGCAAAAGAGCGATTTTATTACCTCATTAATAATTGTATTATTACATCAAGAAATATATATATATATATAGATTTATAAACCTAAGATTAATAATATAGAACATATACCCAATAACCCAATTATATATATAATATATATATATATAAATATATATATATTCACATACATTACTATATATATGTATTATCAAATATACATATTCGTTATTATTTCGACTTTGGTTTTTATTTTTGGTCTAGCTGGTAGGAATACAACTGAAGAAGGTGTTTGTCGAAGTTATTTAACAACAGCATCACTAGCCATAACATCAACAACAATAACATCAATAACATCAACAACAACAGTAGCAGCTTCAATAATGGCATCAATAACAACAATTACAACTACATCACCACGACCAGAAACTGCTACGACCACAAAATATATGAATTCTTTTTTGCTGCTGTCAGCAACAGCGGCAACAACAACAACAACCGCACCAGCAACAACAACGAAAACAACAACAATAACAACAACAACAATATCCATAATGACATCAACGTCGACAACAACAACATCAACATCTACAAAAACATCAACAACAACATTAACCGCGAAACTTGGCACATCAACAACAACATTAACCGCAAAACTTGGCACATCATCAACAGCAACATTAACCGCAAAACTTGGCACATCATCAACAACAACATTAACCGCAAAACTTGGCACATCAACAACAACATTAACCGCAAAACTTGGCACATCATCAACAGCAACATTAACCGCAAAACTTGGCACATCATCAACAACAACATTAACCGCAAAACTTGGCACATCAACAACAACATTAACCGCAAAACTTGGCACATCATCAACAGCAACATTAACCGCAAAACTTGGCACATCATCAACAACAACATTAACCGCAAAACTTGGCACATCAACAACAACATTAACCGCAAAACTTGGCACATCATCAACAGCAACATTAACCGCAAAACTTGGCACATCATCAACAACAACATTAACCGCAAAACTTGGCACATCATCAACAACAACATTAACCGCAAAACTTGGCACATCATCAACAACAACAACAACAACAGCAGCAGCAGCAGTAGCAAGAACACAAATTCCAATAACAACAACAACTACTACTACAATTTCGTCAGATACTCAGCAACGATATAACCATACAACACTACAACTCTTTACAAAACGACCGCCTAAGGCCACTAGACGTCTGGTAGAGACAGCAAGGACGGCTACAACAACTGGTACGACATTAATGACAATAACAGTCTTCCCAGACATCGGGAGAACCAAATACGAAGCCAACTCAACTCTCGACGACAACGACTTCACCAACGACAACAAAAGCAGCCCTGCTCCCGACGCCAACAACAACAGCAAGGCCAAATGGAGTCAGAAATCTTTGAGATTTTCCTTGAAAATAGAGAATCGGATAATTTTCATATTCATAATAACGTTTATAGTGATGTTCTTTCTCGGACTAGGAGCCATGTATCTCTACAGGAAATATCAACAGGAGAATTCCAATGGTTGTGAGACATTATTATAATTTTTTTATTACAATATTATTGAGTGTTGTTTTGTTGAAGATCCACTGACTCTAATCTCAAAACCTCCTCTGCATCCATCGGAATCTCGCTAAGATTTTCCGAGCCTTTTTATCCCAAAACCATGTTTGCGTTTTTTATACTAGAATCAAAACTTTGGACCAAAGATTTAGAAATGTTTTTTTTTCTTCTCTACAAAATCGGCATCCCTCATTTACGCTATTCTTAACTTGTTAGTCCCGTACTGTCAATTCCATGAAGGTGGTCCCTTTTTTGTGTTTTTTGATCCTCTTTCCCATACCCCTATGTGTCACACTTCGTTTGGACTACTTCCGAAAATATATGATGAACGGACCGCTTAAGTCTCTGTTTGTGTTTTTGTTGAAGTTTTCTTTGGATTCATCCTTATTTGAGTATTTTATAAAAGGTCTAGCATTTCTCATTTGCAGTTGGTTGTGTTGGGACGACTTTTGTTTCATTTATTTTCCACATTCCACTTGTTTATACAAATCTTTCCAGTAGAAATCATTTTCCTTCGTTAGCTTCCTTAACTCTCTCTTAACTTGCTTCACTCCTTTAACCTTTAACCTCATACAGTGTCCTGATTTCCAAACTGCTGCAACCTTTTTGGAATTATTGTAATTTCAATTCCTGCCCTCAGAGCTATGACAGTTTTTATTTGAACGAACAAAATACGATGTAAAAGACTTTTCGGGGTCGTCAATATCTGATTTATTAAAACTCTTAGTTGAGTTTATTATTTTACTGCCTTCCTTTTCTGCTCCTCCAGTGAAGTATTTCTTGGGCTTCATCTTCAATTCTGTCTGTTTTTCTATCTTCTTTCTAATTTTCGGTGTGGAACTAGCAAACTTAACTGTCGGATAACAATCCACTGTTGTGTTTCGTTTAGGGCGGCGTGATAGCCTAGTGGTTACGGTCGCCTAATGTTGTTTCGCAGTAACCGGGTTCGAATACGACAAAAAGATCCCCGAGTATCACATGCTTCGTGTGTGATGTGTCATTTAGCACGTATTCATATATACGGTGTTTGTGGCGTGTCGTTGACTCCTCTGAACTTTTGAAGACTGTAAATTGACCTTTAACTTTTAACCTTTCCTCTATTGACCGCGGTTGATGGTCTTTAAATGTTTGTACGAAGCTGACATCATTTTGCTGTTGCTGTTGTTTTTGATGTAATGGCTCTTATTGTTATGGTTATTATTATTATTATTGTTGTTATTGTTATTATTATTATTATTATTATTATTATTATTATTATTATTATTATTATTATTATTATTATTATTGTTATTATTATTATTTTGTCCCAGTTGACGAAAGTGGACAGCAAGGAGGTGAGGTTTGGTGGATGGATAGATGAGTGAATGAGTGAATGAATAAATTACTAAACGAATGATTGAATTAATAAATAAATTAATAAATTATGAGTGAGTGAATGAGTGAGTGAGTGAGTGAGTGAGTGAGTGAGTGAGTGAGTGAGTGAGTGAGTGAGTGAGTGAGTGAGTGAGTGAGTGAGTGAGTGAGTGAGTGAGTGAGTGAGTGAGTGAGTGAAATTAACAAAAAAATGGTTGAATGAACAAGTGTTTATTTAAATGAACTTGTGGGTGGAAAGTAATTAGGTGAGTATGTGTGAATGAATAAGTAGACATATGAATAAAATAAATTTTATTTATTAATTTTTTTTGATCTATTGATTGGTTAACAACCCGCTCATCATAGAACAATTAAACAATCAGCCAACCGACCAATCACCGACTAACGGAGTGGAAACCAGCCAATCACAAACCGACCACGAAACAACGGACCAATCACCAATCAGCCAAAGAAAAACCAAACGATCACTACCCGACCAATCACCAACCTACCAATCATTGATCGACTAATCACCAGTCGACATATCGCCAACCAGCCAATCACCGACCGATCGATCACCAACCGATCGATCACCAACCGATCAATCACCAGCCGACCGATCACCAACCAGCCAATCACCAGCAGACCGATCACCAACCAGCCAATCACCAACCCACCAGTCAGCAACCGACAAATTACAAACCTATCAGCTACTGGCCAATCCGCGAGTCTCAGAAATAGCAATAGATAAAAGAGATTGATTTGCTAATTGAAGAAAAACTAAATTAAATAGTTAATTGAACAATTTATTGAATAAATTTAACAAATTAAAAAATAATTGTAGGTATAATTATCTTTGTAGATTGTTTTTTTAAGTAATTTGTTAGGATGATAAATATTCTAAAATTGAATTTGGGGAATTATACAGAATTAAATCAGTCAATCATTAAACCAATAAGTTAATCAATCAATCAATTGACTGATCAACAAGTTTATCAACCAATTAATTAACTAACCAATCATTCGTTCGTTCATTTATTTATTCATTTATTCATTCATTCAATCAATCAACAAATCAATCAACCAGCCACAAAATGTTTTCAACCAGGTATAAATAATTCACCGTTGAAAACCTAATCCACTTTTAAACAAAGCAACGTCATACAACTTCTTTTAAACAAAACATTCCGGTTTATATAAACATAAATGCACGAACATGCACGAACGAAATAATAATAAATAATAACAATAAATAAAAATAATAAATTTTTTGGCCTACAAAACATGAAAATCACTCACTTCAACAAGTTGTTTCAAATTTTCATTACGGTTTTCATCCTTCTTACGACAGCAATAGCGACATACCACCAAGAAGTTACGACAGCAGCTACTAACGCGCCATCCACTGCTTCGGCTGACATTGAAACTTCACAGAAAAGTGCGCATGGTTTTAAAGCTAGTTATGGAGTAAGTTTCGAGAAAGGCGCCATAGAAAGCAACTGCTCCGAAGTATGTAGTTCAACTAACTGTACATTTGAAAACTGCTTTATGGCTATAATGAACGAGCCTTTCCCAGCTCTAGCTATAAAAGCGGAACTACATCTCAGCTTCATCAATGTAAGATTCGGAAAGATTAACAAATCCTTTTTTGACTGGTTAACAATTATAAAGTTACTGATTGAAAACTGCGTGACCCAATATCGTATTCCGGAAAATTTGTTTTCAAATGTGCTCTTTCTGAAACAACTTTATATTGTAAATTCTCCTAATTTCAGTGACATCTTCTGGTCGAATGATGCTTTCGTGTTCCCTCTGATGCGTTCATTGGAGGAACTTTTTGTCGATGAGAACATTCCAGATGATGAACAAGCCATCCTTTCAACTGCCAGTGTGCTCCAGGTTTGTGTTTTATGCGTGTATGCGTTTGTATGTATGTATGTTTGTGTATGCATATGTGTGTGTGTCAGAGGCGTAGCCAAGGTAGGAGCTTTGGGGCTAAAACCCCTCGATGGAAAATTTGATTAGGGTTATGTCAAAATTGAAAAAAATCTCTATAAAAAATTTTAAGAATTTGGACTGAGAACTGTATCAGCATCCTTAACAATAACAAAGTTTAGTTGAATTTTGCACAAATATATTGGTTTTAATAGTGAAATTTGATAACGATTGTGTGACATGGAAAAATAAGTTAATAAATTTTGTAACATTTTTAAGCAAATTTTGCAAATTTCGGGCTACTCCGCTGATGTGTGTGTGTGTGTGTGTTTTATAATATTTAATTGTTTCATTTATTTATTGGATCAGAAGTAGATTTTATCTACCTTGATCTATTTTTAATATTTTTAAAATGGGCAGTTTTTTTCTTAAATACTTGCAGTCTGCTAATAAATATTCAATATTTTATCTCGATGTTTTCATACATTTTCAATTTCTATCATTCTTCACCTTTTTTAAACTCATTTTCATTTTTCTTGTATGGCTCATTCTCACAATCATTTCCACAATACATCCATCGCTTAACAGTCTTCTCCGAATTTTCGGACCCTGGTATTAACCGGAAACACGAGGGCTCTGAAAGTTCTTAACAAACTGAAAAGAATCCGAAGATTAACATTCAGAGACATCCAGTTCTACTACGTGCTCGAGTACCTCAAACTCTGGAACGTACAAGCCTCAGTCAGGCAACTTGTCTTTGATAGGGTCGGACAACTTAATTTAAATGACAATGTCTTAGAAACGTTTACAAACCTCCATAGCGTTGCTCTCTATTCGTGTCCAGATGTGAACGTCGATGACGACCTGTACAAAGTCATGTACTTCACCAATATAACAGCCTACGATCAGCCTGATGTTCAGAAAAAATTGGACGCGATTTATGCAAAGGCAGTTCAGAATTTACGTGAATATCCTATTGATGAGTTTTCGGAGGAAGACCTGCTGATGCAAACCCCTAACGACGACGAAGACGAACATGCTGACTTCACAACTAAACCTCGAGGCACGACAATAAAAAAGAAAACACTTGAAATTTTAGACGCTAAGGCAGAAATTCAAGCAAACAACCTGAGAATAAGTTGCGAAGTTGTTGGAAAGGCCCCGATTTACGTTTCCGTAAAATTTCCAAACGGTTCCAGCGTTAACTTCATGAAGGAAGTAACACAACCCAGCTACGTATTTGTCTATAACGAGGCGAATGTGGATATTTGTAATAGAAAAGGCGCATTTGTTTGTAGCGCACAGAGTGCTTTCGGTGGCTCCGATAGTTTTGAATTCAGTTTATTCGAGGAATTAAGAGTGAAAAGCGATTGTTGGATGGTTAGGATGAAGTCATTTGGGATGGTTGGTGCTTTCGGGATTGTTGGTTTCTTTTCGTGGTAAGATTGTGTGTTTTGTTGGGCGGTTGATGTTGAGATAATGATGGGAATGATAAATAAGCATGGCGATGAGGAATAATGAAGTTGATGGTAACGACTAATACGATTATGATGGTAATGGGTTCCATGGTGATGTAAGAACATTTTGGAAATAATTAAGTTGAAGATAATAACGACCGTGCCTATTTGGATGATCATGTTGATGATGATGAGGATTATGATAATGATGTGAAAGAAGAAAAAGAATCAGATGATGATGATGACGACGATGATGAGACCATAATGGTGCTAACAATTCGATGAATGAGATGATGATGTTTTTAGCAGGGTGATAGAATTAAGGATGACAATTTAAAGGTTGTTAGTAAAGTTTATACAAAATTTTTTAATTAAATTTTTGCATGCATTTATTTTCTTCTATTTTATTTGTTGTTTATACTTTAACTTGTGCTAAAAAAACGTAATGCTTTCCGCACTCTTCCAAGTCTTCTTCCAAGCAATGACTCATTTTTTTATGTTTTATTTATTTGTAATTGATATAAACACAGTGCTACAAGTTAATAAGTTAATTCTTTACAAATTTTTGGAAAATGATGAATAATCAAATCATTCATAAGTTAATAAATAATAAACGAACAATGATTTCAGTGTATTTAATAGTACAATCGTTGCTATGTTTATTACTATCATTATTACTTACTATTGCTATTATTATTATAACTATTATTATTGTTGTTATTACACGTTACACAATGATCTTTTCGCTTTTTGTCTGTTTCCCTGAATACTTGAAACGTTAAATGCCAGAAGGAATCAATGAATGGATGCCCTTCTCTGACCTTCTTGTTCGTGGTTTCGACTGAAGGAGCATATATACCATTAGCCTGCCTCACATCACCATGCACCCGACTTTGATGTACATTTTGATGTACATTTTACTAAAGATATATATATAGATGATATATCCGTAACATTGTAAGTGGTTCTGCGTATGTCAGAGCTGCAATAATAAAGACAAAAAAAAAATTGTGTCGCACGATATCAAAAATTCCTCGGTGGTAAAAAGACGGCACCAAATTTATAAACCTTTTATTCATAATTTTCATACATATTATTAAATGTGTGTATGAAGGTAAAGAAAGTTTGAGCTGTATGTATTACCAATCAAACTGTCTTTTGTTCCTCGTCCAAAACTCTGCTGAAGTTTAAGCGCGCTCGATTACCATCCCAATTTTGGCCATTGTCAGAATCTGCAGAGTCTATGGAAGTTTTTCAAAAAATGAATATTTAAGCCGTTCTGTAGCATCGTATGCAGCTGTCTTCGTCCTACAACTATAACTGAACCAAAATTCAATTTTAACGCGTTCGGTTTCTTTTCGAGTTATTATTATTAGTATTATTCTCGTTATAATAATTTTCGTTAAAATTATATTTATTACGCTTCAACTTTACAACATGAGTGTAAAAAGTGTAAATACTACAATATTAAAATTGAAAGTATGAAATTGGGAACCAATTGGATTTTGAACGTTACTAAATTGTAGTAAATTTTGGATTAAAATTTGCAAACTTTAAATTAATTTAAAAGTTTTAAAAATTAAGCAATTTCTGCAATCATCTAATCTTAATTTACTAAGCTTAATTAGAACTAAATAATTTTCATTTGATTATTGCTCCAGTTCAGGAGTGGGCAAACATTTTGCAGTGAGGGCCGCATTGAGAACAATTTTACCTTTGAAGGGCCGCATATGTACTTAAATAGCAAATTTTTTCGACCCGGGGAAGAATTTTTTTAAGATTTGTGGAAATTATGAAAAATTGAATGTTTCTTTGAATTTCTACATATTGTTTCAAATTATTGGGTAAATCAATTATTAATCAATTGACTGACTCGCTAATAAATCAACCAATTAATTAACCAAACATTAAATCAATCATTTATTCGTTTATTCAATCAATTAATCAATAAATCGATCAATCATTCATTCAATTAGTCGATCAATCAACCAGTCACAAAACGTTTTCAACCAGGTAAAAAATAATTCACATTAGCCCACTTTTAAACAAAACAACGTCATACAAGTATTTTTATATAAAACACTCCGATGTATATAAACATAAATATACAAACATGCCTGAACAAATTAAGTAAAAATAATAATAATAATTAATAGTAATAATAACAATAATATTAACAATAATAATTAATAATAATAACCCATTTTTCGGCTTACACAACATGAAAATCATTCACTTTAACAAGTTTTTCCGAATTTTCACAATTTCAACCCGTCCTACTTACAATAGCAATAGCGACAGACAACAAAGACTTTACGACAGCAGCTACTAACGCGCCAGCCAATCCTACTACTGACATTGAAACTGCACAGAAAATTTCGAATGGTTTTATAGCTAGAAATGAAGTAAACTTCGAAGAAGGCGTCATAGAAAGCAGCTGTTCCGCCGAAGTATGTCATTCAGTCAAATGTACGTTTGAAAACTGCCTTTATGGCTAAAATGAACGAGTGGGTCTCAGCTATTGCTATAAATGACCAAAGAAAACTGAAGCTATATCTCAGCTACAGATTTGGAAGGATGAAGAAATCCTTTTCCAACGGATTGGGGATTATAAAGTTACTGATTGAAGACTGCGTGACCCAATATCGTGTCGCGAAAAGTTTATTTTCAGGCGTGATGTCTCTAAAACAACTTCATATCGTTAATTCTCCTAATTTCAGTGACATCTTCTGGTCGAATGATGCTTACGTGCTCCCTCTGATGCGTTCATTGAACTCTTGCTGGTGGAACTATGGAAACGACAACGTTCATCGTCGCTACAACCGCTACTTTTATATCCACTGCAGTTAATACCGCAACTACATCAACCAACATCGCCGCCGACAAAAGCAACTGTGACTAATTCCACTGTTGGTGATAAGAGATACCTTGGGGTAAAAATTTACCTTGGGGTAAAACTCATAGTGGATAATTCATTGTGGTATTGTTATAAGTCAAAAATGTAAGATTGTCAAGTTTACGATGTTGCAGATTTATTAGTGATGGTTCGATGTCAGAATATCAATTCGATTTGGTCAATGCCTGTGGCAAAACGTTCAAGCAGACGGCCTTCAACATAAGTCCTAACATCTCAAATAAATCCAGTTTTTTCAAAAATTTGAATTCCTTTGTTTAAAAAGATAGAAAATTGTTCTTATATTTATCAATATGCATTTTATTATTATTATTTATTATTATTAATATTATTATTAATTATGCGGTTTTTCTTGAAAGTATAAAAATGATCCAATGATCCAGAATTCGCCCTCAAAAAACGAATGATTTCGTTATTAGCTTTTGTTCACCCAAATGACATTATAGAAAGTTTTGAGCAACTATCGGAGGATTTTCCAGTGGAAGCTCAACCAGTTTTAGACTATTATGAGGACATCTGGATTGGGAGACCTAATCGGCATACGACCTGTGGAACTGCTACAATGCTGCTTTCAATGGCTTGCCAAAAACCAACAACTCCTGCGAAGGCTGGCACAAAGCCTTTAGTGAGCTAATTGGAGCTTGCCATTCAACAACTTTAAAGTCCTCAACAGAGGCGTTTTTTGGGCTTTTGAGGCCCGGAGCGAAAATATTTGTAAGGCCGCTTAATAAATTAACAACTGAAATCGAACCCGAATTCGGTTACTAGAATTATCGTTGATAGTTGTAGGTTCAATTCCTGCCGTGCAATTTAATACTAATTGCTTATTATCGTTTAATCGTTAAAATGCCGAAATCTATTCACCATTTGACCTAATTTGTCAATTAATTGCCGATATTGGTTCATTATTCGGCTTAATTAATTCATTTATCGATTAATTTTTACAGTTGTTGGTGTGTTCGTTCCTAACCTTCATCAAAAACTGTCGTTCAATCAACAATCTATTAATGAATGTTCGAAAATAATTTACATTTTGACTCGTTTCAATTAATTCGACAAATTTCAACTAGAATTCGAGTGAATTTGAAATTTCAAATGAATGTATGTACTCGGAGAATGGTGCAGAAAGCGTAATGAAATATCCTGCATGATATTATCATATATGAAGTTCGTTTTGATTCATCTCTTATCACTTCTCTCATCGCACATACAGCCTGTTCTGGTTCGCCCGATCAATGCCCATTGAAGAATTTTCCTCCCCGATAAATTTTCCGGTGAACACACCACCGACAGCCTGGATATTGGAAAGACCGGCCCCGAAAAGCGACACCCTCTAGGTGGACAACGACACGAGCGCAATTTCACACATCTGTAACGACGTGTAGTATGAAAAACCGACACCGACAGAGATTATAAAATTCTGGGTCGAGAAGTTCGACGATAGGGCGACGGTTAGATGTTCGGTAACCGGCGGTATAGGTAGAGATTCATCCCTCCAAATAATCGAATCCGTCCATTCAGCAATGCTTCACCGCCGTGGCATACATACATCGATACGGAATCGGATAACTTCCATGGAATCTACCTTTGTTTAGTGATGTGTTTCGATTCGGTACGACTACAGTACTGTATCGAAATCGATAAAAATCGAATCGGAAATGTCTCATCAGATAATGAGCAGCGGACAGTCATGGACGCCCACCAAACACGATCTTTATGAGTATTTCAACTCTATTATAGTAATTCCAAATTCAGACATGTTTACATATATTTTCATATAAACAATGTCTAGACACAAACCCAGACACACACAGAGATGTAGACACGCACGCACATAGTTAAACTTCAATTGAAATTCATCTACCACTGTTTCAAAATTTATTTTAATTATACCATAATTAAAATATCATTATTATTAAATATAATTTTGGCGCAAAATTATGAAAACCAGAGCAAAAATAAAACAAAGAAACATATTTTTTTTATAAATTTTTTTAGCGCAAAATAAAATTTAATAATATTCTCAGATAAATGAAACTAGAACTAAAATTAAGGATACCAATATGTACACGTTGGGCCAAAAAAATCAATAACAATAACAACAATAATAATAATAAATATAATAATAATAATAATTATAATAATAATAATAAATATAATAATAATAATAAATATAATAATAATAATAAATATAATAATAATAATAAATATAATAATAATAAATAAAATAAATACAATAACAATAATAATAAGTAATGCCAAATTATGTTGATTTATCAGCGGGTCAACACCGACGACCACACGCTTCAAACACACATTTGAAGAATCTTTTTAAAAACGTTAATAATAATAATAATAAAAAGAATAAAAATAATAATAACAGTAAAATTATTATTATTATTATTGAAACAAAACTTACAGAATAGCGTCTCATTTTGATTTGGAGCAATCTAAAAGAGTGGGGGAAGAGATAGCGAGGAAATAAATAAAAATGCTCAACTATGGAAATTTATTATTATTATTATTGTTATTATTATTATTAGTATTATTATTCATTATTATTATAAATATTGCTAATGAATGTTTACTGCCATTAGGATTATCATTATCTATATCTGTTATTAACCTATAACGTTATTGCATTTATTATTATTATTAATTTATTGTTATTATTATTATATTTATTTTATTATTATTATTATATTATTGTTATTATTATTATTATTATTATTATTATTATTGTTTAAAATATAAACAACAACAACGACATACATGTATAATGAAGCTTAAATCTATGTTGGAAAAAAAGCATGAAAAATAATTGAGAGAGAGAGAAAGAGAGAGAGAGAGAGAGAGAGAGAGAGAGAGAGAGAGAGAGAGAGAGAGAGAATAAACGAATGTAAAAATTATCTAAAAAATGAATAAAAGATATATATATATATATCTATATAGCATGTTATTTAACTTGATTTGATGAAAATTAAAACAACGATTAAGATGATGATGACGATGATAGCGATGATGACGATGGTGATGATGATGCTGATGACGATGATGATGATGATGATGATGACGATGATGATGATGATGATGACGATGATGATGATGACGATGGCAATGATGATGATCATTATACAAACTATAAATAAGTTGATGATGATGATGCTGATGATGATGGTTAGAATGAATGAATGAATAAATATATGAACGAATGAAGAAACAAACAAACGAACGAATGAATGAATGAATACATGAAAGACGAATGAATGAATGAATGAATGAATGAATGAATGAATCAATCAATCAATGAATCAATCAATGAATCAATCAATGAATACATGAAAGACGAATGAATGAATGAATGAATGAATACATGAAAGACGAATGAATGAATGAATGAATGAATGAATGAATGAATACATGAAAGAAAGGACAAAATATATACATAACAGTTACGGACCATAAAAATTTAAAAAATATATCTATACATATACACACATATGAAACTTTTCAGTATTATTGTCAGTATTATAATATTGGTAGTAGTAGTGGTTGGTAGTAGTAGTAGTAGTAGCAGTAGTAGCAGTAGTACCAGCAGTAGTAGTAGTAGTAGTAGTAGTAGTAGCAGTAGTAGTAGTAGAAGTAATAGTAGTAGTACTAGTAGTAAGAACAGTAGTAGAAGTAAGAGTAGTAATAGTAGTAGTATTGTCTACCGATTAAATATTAAAAAATAGAAGACAGGAGAAATTAATTTAAGAAAGATTTTTTTAATTTGTTGTTGTTGTTGTTCGAACTAATGCGAAAATAAAGCATCATAAAATTAGACTTGGATAAAGATGAATGGATGGAGAAATTGGTAAAAAAATGTCTGGGTCCATATTATCTAGATGAATGAATGAATGAATGAAAGAGTGAATGAATGATTGGGTGAATGAATGATCAAATGAATGAACGAATGAATGAACGAATGAACGAACGAATGAACGAATGAATGGAAAGACATAATATAAAACAGTGCAATGGTGCATATTTAAATTAAAATAAACAACAACTCCAACGAGAATGTGCCAATGCAATCACCATCTCCTGTACCTAAAATGAAACTAATGGGACGCATACACCTAGAAGGATAACTAGATAGAGAGGCAGTCAGAAAGATAAAGAGAGACAGAATGATAGAGAGAGAGAGAGAGAGAGAGAGAGAAAGAGAGAGAGATACTTCAACATACCCGATCTCTTTAAACCAACAGACAGACAGACGGACGAAAAGATAAAGAAAGAGAGAGAGAGAGAGAGAGAGAGAGAGAGAGAGAAGAGAGAGAGAGAAAGAGATACTTCAACATACCCAATCAATTTAAACCGACAGACAGACAAAAGGATAGAGAGAGAGAGAGAGATAGAGATAAAGAGAGCGAGAGAAAGAAAAAAAAAGAGTGCATCAACGTACCCAATCTATTTAAAACCCCAAAACAATTTGAGAAAATTCATACCTCAATCGTCTTAGGGCATCTAATTAATTATCTAATTAATTATACATGTATAAGATATGTAAAGTATGAGAGGATATATATATATATATGTATGTTGGTAATAGACCATAATTTTTACAATATTCTTTAAATTCTACCGAATGTTTGGCGTTAATATGTTTGTAGTTCGTTTTTTCGATTTTTCTCACTAAAGTTTTTTGGTGAACGTTTAGTTTATTAAAATCAAAATA